TTAGGGTTTACTGATGGTTCCTCGTCGTCTTTGCCGTAGAGGTCAGCATACACTGGGTCGTTTTGCAGCTCTTCTAATTTTTCCTTTTGTGTCTTTTTCTTTTTTGGTTTTGCTGCTGCTGCATAATTAAACAACTAAACCGTAAACCCTAAACCCTAAACCCTAAACCCTAAACCCTAGGCCCGCCCTTGCAGGGCCGCGCCCTCGACCCACCAAAACTAGGGCTTAGGGTTTAGGGACCCCTGATGGTTCTCTTTGCTGCAAACCCTAGAAAGCCCTGACCTCCCGAACCCTAAACCCCAAACCCTAAACCCTAAACCCTAAACCCTAAACCCTAAACCCTCACGTTTTTGCTGCTGCTTGCTTCTGTTTTTGAGTCTTTCTTTCCAGCTGCGCGGTTTGGACTGGGCCAGGGCCTTCACCAGTTCGCTGCGCTGCTGCGGCTGCTGCAGCACTGGCTGCTCCTCCTCTTCTGCTGCTGCTGCTTCCTCTTCTGCCTGCAGCAGCAGCAGCAGCAGTCGCAGCAGCAGCAGCAGCAACAACAGCAAAAGGAGGAGAAGCAGCAACGGAATCGTTATTAGAAAGTAGCAGCAGCGTGAGCGGCAGCAATAGCAGAAAAAACAACAGCAGAAGCAGCAGCAACAACAGCAGAAGCAGCAGCAACAACAGCAGAAGCAGCAGTAGCAGCAGCCGCAGCAGCAGCTGTAGCAGCAGCAGCAGCAGCAGCAGCAAGACAAGCAAAACCCCTGTCTCGGAGGCCAGCAAACCCTCGTGACGAGACAGAAAAGAAGCCTTCCCACAGGGTCATCCTGAAACCCCCAAGTCCTCAGAGTTTAGGATTTAGGGTTTAGGGTTTAGGGTTTAGGGTTTACTCTTGCTATCTCGGCCTCCGCGTCTTCTATGTCTGCCTTCAGGCGGCCCGCCCAATACTCTGCGTGCTGCTTCAAAGCCTTCTGTCTCCTGCAGCAGCAGCAGCAGCAGCAGCAGCGGCAGCAGCAGCAGCAGCAGTGGCAGCACCAGCAGCAGCAGCGGCAATAGCAGCGAACTGCAAGCCATCAACTCTGCTGCAGCAGTAGAGGCTGCTGCTGCTACGTTTGTTGTTGCTGCTGCTTCTGCTGCTGCTGCTGCAATTTATTGTTGCTGCTTCTGCTGCTGCTGCTGCTGCTGCTGCTGCAATTTATTGTTGCTGCTTCTGCTGCTGCTGCTGCTGCTGCTGCTGCTGAATTAGCTGCTGA